GGGCGGTCATCGTTTATTTTCGTATTTTTATAATACAAATCGAATATTTATATTCATCGTTTTAACGATGAATTAAAAACGATAGTATCAAGTATCTATAGTCATTGGGTGAGATTAGATAAGTTAGATTTACCGCGTGTGTGTTAGTTTCGTGTGTTTAATAATTCAGTGTAATTCTAATTTAGGTAAGGTGAATATTTTTGAGAATAATTCAACAATTATTTTAAAATACCTTTTTTGTTTTATTAGGTGCAGAATAATAATTAAGAAGATTGAGATCCAACATTGAAAAAAGATTCCAAATCAATTTAATAAAATAAATCTAATTAAAACTTATAGTGAATAATAATAAAATTAATTTTGTTAAGAGCATATTTAACCGCATAATTTTAATTTTTTGATGCATAAGAGAATATTTTTAAATGAATATTTTATGATTTTTTAGTGCATGAAAATCCTTGCTCTAGTTATAACCTATATCATGAGTAGTTAGTGCCTGTGTTATCGGGATTGGAGCCCTGTGATCGATTATGTTAGTACTGTAACAACATAGCAGTGTGAATCGTGAATAATATACGTATTTATTAAATATATTAGAATTTATACATAATATATATATGTATATATTATAAATTATTCTGTAAGATGTAATATAAAAAAAACGATTAATAAATACAAAAAACGAAATTGATCGACGACCCGATGGATTCATAAGCGTACGAGGGATTATGTACGATTGCGTTCGTATCGCGTATACCATCGTCCGTTCGAGTGCTAATGGTTCAAATAGGTACAACCTATTATTATAATGGTATTATGCTGATGTGTGTCGTTAGCGGCGCGAGCGCTCCAGTATCTATAATTTCTAGCCTAAATAATTGTCTACTCGCAGTGTAGTCTCTTCGATTCACCAACGCGGTTCCAGTATTACGTATAACAGCAGTTAATTACTATCGGGTGACGTTTTAATTATTAGCGTTTCAATATGACGTATGTAATGCATTTTAGACGCTGTTGTTGCAACAATGATGATAATAATAATAATAATAATAATAATAATAATAATAATAAAAAAAGCTTATGTCGACAGACCGAGTATATTTTTCTGTTCAGAATAATTACTGTACGAGGAAGATTGATGGACGGCAATCAAAAAAGTAAAAAAAAAAAAAAAAATCTTTGTAACTACGACTACAATGATCATTTTTACGTTTTAAGCGCATATTTTTTTTTTCTATAGAGATTTTAGTACCTACGATTGATATATGGTTAGATCGTTAGTATTTTTCTGAATTATAAGCATGGGAGAATGGTTGCTTCACTAAATGCTTAGACGATCGCCCAATTGACGAGAAGCTTAAACGGTCAACCACCACTCTGCCAAATTATTCCTCGAGTACATAATATAATTGTTGTAATCACTTAATAATGATATAGTGTTAAAGTTTTTACGATTATTGTTTGTGTAGTTAATTAATGTTTTCATTTTACGCTTGAGAATAGGGCATGCCCGAAACGCGCATGGCTATCTTCTAATGAACAAAGAAGAACGAACCAAATGTACAATCCGTGAATTCAACCTAAATATTAAACACCTATTCGATGCATGTAGACGTAAGGAAACTGCCAGAATCAAACACAACATTCCGAAGCTATTTTGACAATTCTTAGGTCGATACGAAACGGCAATCAAACTATTACATTCGTATAGGAAATAATCTGGAAGTTATATTGGAACAAAACATCGAAACATGTTCGCAAGACCAACAAATCACATAAGTATTTAAGTGATACTATCAGTAATTACAACGTAAACCAAATATCATTTAATGGCCACGTTTCCGAGGCGTATTTCTAATAAAAATAAAAAATTAAATTAATTTACGCGATCGTAACGGTAATTGTAACGCGCGGTAAACGTTAAAAATGATATTTACAACTGAGATGTATATATTATATTATATATATACATATATATAATAATATATATATAATACATACAATATATATTTACAACTACTATTTTTAACTGAGAATAAAAGCAGTTCTTATAGTTTTAATCACTTCACGAACAGTTTTTTCGTTGAACCGATGCATTGAAATTGATTTAGACCCGACAGACGGAGAGTAAATGGAACCGGAGAGGTACTTGTTGCACGAATGGAAATGTACCGATAGAAATAACGTGGTCCGCAGGGGGTGTAATACCTATGAAATATTATAGCTGTTAATGTCAAAGGACAAGTGTGCGGGTACTTCGACCGAAATCATCAAGGTGCAACGCGTAAATAATGATCGGTTTCTCGGTAATACACTACGATGGTAACGCCCGTTATATCAGATCGTGTATAGGTCACGGAAGCCGATGAACGCGCTAGGAGTAATTATTTCGTCCGACCTGGTGTAGACGACGATACAACTTTGACGTTAAACATCTTATGCGGAAGAGCAGAATGTCCCTGTGTTGTGCGACCACGATTGCGATGGGCTAGGGCTCGTTTTTCGCGGTGACCGCTTGTGAAGTATGCGAACATTTGTCGCCCTACGGATCACTAAAACATAATATTTAAAAGCATCACGTTATACGGTGTGCGAAAGCAATCATCAGTTCTCGATGTCGTTTCGTTTTCATTACACGATCCTTAAGCGATTTATTATTACAAATTTATTGTAAGCGCCCGCGAAACGTAAAAAATGTTCGTTCATCGCTGTCTCCTGGAAACTTGATGCGTGAACGCGCCGTCAACAGTCGGTAAACGTACACGTAGCACTGCAATGTATACCGTGTAGCGGACAGTGGTTGGACGGCGCGAGCCGGTAGAAAACGGTAGACGGAACGCGGGGTCTCCGAGTCGGCAACGACATTTCCTCGGAGTGTTCGGCCCGGCGCGCACGACCCCTTTCACCGTCCGCGCGAGAACAGACCGAAAACCAGAATTTGATTTCCGCGATTTTCGGTCGTCACTGGGAGGTAACAATGGATTTGGAAATATAATCTAAGTACTTAGAACTAAGAATTTAAATTTAATCAAAGTTCATGAACGTGTTTTATTGTCGTACCTTGGTCTAGAAAAGGTCGAAGGAGAAAAACTTATTTTAGAAGAAGAATTTTCTGAAAAACTAATTAACTGGCAGAGGCAACTCGCTGGGTAAGGCAAATGAGGCACAGCCTCATTTGAAATTTAACATTCTAATAATTTATTATAAGCCTATTATCTATACACTCCATATTTAAGAAAAAGTGAAAATTGTTAATTTAATATAAAAAATAAGGTAAATACTGGGTAATACTGTAATATTGTAGTACTAACATCTAACACAATATGTAATATTGTAGTAAAAAATTGGCATCTTAAAATTAAAGGTTTAGAGATTTAGAGGAAAATAAACCCTGCGAAGAAAGAAAAAACCAAAACATGACAACTCATTAAATAATAATTAGTTTAATAAAACATATTAACATCAAAAAAATATAAGATTTTTACAGAGATTAATACGGTTATTATTAACGGTAATGTAGTAAAAATTATGAAAATATAAAAAAAAAGTGATAATTGTTATAAAACAAGAGAAAACTTGGTAATATGAAAAAATAAATATGTTATGGCAAAAATGAAGAAAAACCCTGTGAGGGAAAAAACCAAAAAAATTGACAAATTAAATTGGGTAGTTGAAAAAAGTAGTTCCATACAACAAAAGGTATAAAAAAATATATATAAAAAATGTATGAAATGTATAAAAATATATAAAAAGTTTAAAAATGTATAAAAATAATGTAAAAAATGTATAAAAATGAATAAATGTTTAAAATGTATGAAAATCAATAAAAATATATAAAATGTGAATGTTCTGGATCACGATGTCTTCCATCTACTGCCGATTAAACGTGCGATCATGCATATGGATTTTTTGGCGTTACTACCGACTTCGGATTTAATAACACTTCGGAGACGGTCGGTTCGATCGCTCCCCCGCCCTCGCTCAACCTCTCAAGGTACAGAACGGCGTTTGAGGAGTTCTTCCACCCCTCAACGCTTACGTGTTCGATCTCCACGCGCCCAAAACCACGGTCTCTCGACACTTCCACAGTCTGAGACATCCCAGGACCAAACATATTACGTAGTACAATCAACGTAACTTTTTAATATGTATACAATGTATCTATTCTGTCTAAATAAAACAAACATTTAACACTCATCCCGGCGATATAACTAGGCATTATATGATAGTACAGACCTACAATGTTATAAATTATATGTCACAGGGTTGTTACATTATTGTGATTTGTAATACGTACCAGCAAAATAATATCGATGTTTCAGTTTTTCACAAAAAAAAAATATACTATTTTAAAATAAATAGTTTTACACTCTATAAAAATATACTCTATTGGTTTTACCCATAAGCTAATATATTTAAATATACAAGGGGTATCAAATCAATTATTTATAAGAGTAATGTCCGTATGCATACTATTTGATGTGTCACGTCATAAGACAATTTTAGACTACATGTCTTATGTTGATTAAAAAATAAAAGTAACTAAACTTAGTTAAAAATCAGTTACTTATTTTGTCATACATAATGTGCTCGTATGGTAGTAAAGACAGAAAACCATCGATTTCCATTCACTTTAAATATTGTTCATTATAGCCGATTTATTATTTATCATAGCCGATAGGTAGTAACGCGTAGGATTTAGAGACCCGTCTAGGTAGATATGTCGGTGTTCGGAGTTCGATACCCGCATACGAGTTGTGGTATTTTATTATAATTGTTTTCCAATTATTAGTAGGTTTCATTGTTTAAATATGATGTTCTAACTATGTTTGCAATGTAACCCTAATATAACTTTTTGTTATAAACATTATATTGCAGTTGCAGGTATGTTAGAAATTAACAGATTTAAAACGTTGATGATTAGGTTGCAAACACCGGACATTAGCAGAATCAGGGACATCACATTAACGCAAATTCAACATTCAAATTAATGTTGCATATTATATGGAAACATACCTTGTATGTTTATAGTACACATTATTGCACAGGGGGATGTGGATAGTTTTGGGTACGTGGAGAACGACTCTGGGGGCGATCTCTCGTGCCATCTCCAGTATACCGGCTAGTCCACCCTTCTGGCGACTGCACAAATCTTCGGCACTGAACCGACGGTTTCGATCCCACGCCGGGGCCGCCCACGGTGGAGAGGTGATCACCGCGTCGGACGTCACTCCGGGCAGCACCGCGAAGCAGTCGCCGATCCGAAACTCAATGCGGTGGGCGACACCGAGCTCCACGGCTTTTCGGAGGGCCAACCTTATTTTGGCCGGATTGTTGTCCACGGCGATCATCTTTCGGTACGTGCGCGCCAGCCGAACGGCCAGGCGGCCGACACCGCAAAACAGATCGACGACCGTGTTGAATGCGCACCTCCAGGCCACGTGCGCGGCCAACACGTCCGGGCACGTGGACACCGAAAAGTGCAACTTATCGGCAACAAGTCGTCGCTGGAACCGCCAAGCGGCCGGTTTCGCCACGGCGTCGGAAGGGCATGGGTCCTGGTGTACTTGGGCAGCGATTGGTGGTTTCGGTGGCTTCAACGCGGCAGACCCATCGGAGGGGCCTGACGGCAACGTACTGGGGAAACTGAAGGTGGAAGCGGTCTCTTCCACTTCAGTCACGATCGCGTCCTCCTCAGGCTCATCTTCGATATTAGTACACGTCATATGGTCCCTTACAATTTTCAGCCAATGCTTTAATGTACCAACTTCCTGGGGCGGCGTTAGATGTTCCATTGCGGTAAACGCTTCTGCGGTCGTCTGAAGCCCGTCTGATTGAACGCCGACGTCCCCGTACTTTTTTTCTTCCACAATCTTGGTTCTCAAAGCACCGATATCTTGGTGCTCGGAGCACCGAATCTCCGTTTGGGAATAGCTGTCCCGGGTGGTGGCATGTGGTTTTTCGACGTTGGTCGACGCCAAGATCACGTCTGGTGACCAGGTGGCTCGCTACCGTCGACGTGGCCCGCAATTCTTCGTTTTTGCACCAGTAATTGATAGAGTAACGGGGGCCTGGTGAGCCACCCCCGTACCCTCGCGGTTGCTCGATGACGACCGAAGTGGGCTCGCTACGTTGGATCCGGTTTTGACACCGGATCCACTCACTCTTGCCGACCTCTGGGGTTCCGAAGCCCCTGAGGTGGTAACAATACTCGACTGAAAGTTACTCATATTGTGGTTTTTTAAGTGATTTCCTTCACTACATTTTAACCCTACTGCCAGGGGGTTTTTGATTAAGGTTTTCCTTCCTCTAGGACGACTGCCACCCAAGGCTGAAGAGTCCGCCCTACCCTTTGTTGAGAACCGCTTTGTCAGCCCACAGTTCGTCGACCTGTCCAACATGGGAGACTCTGTTGGTAGTAAGCTACCGTTGGCATAGCTCTCGGAACTGTTGAGGGACGCAAGCCCCCCACCACGTCAAGGTGGGTCCTCGTGGAGGGGATTAGTCAAGACGTCACGTTAGACGATAAACATACCCAGCCCTACGTGTGAGGATGGGAAAGACAATATAATTTTTTTCTACACCTCTGTAAGGGCTAACCGAGAGAGAGTGTCTCGTGAATTTATTACGGAATATATTTATAATCTATCAAGATAATAAATTAGGAAGAGAATTTATGATGTACACACCTCACTGGTTTTGATTTATAAATGATAATATATTTTTGCTAAATCCGATATCAAATTATTTAAGACTTGAATTAATTGAAGTTCATAAATTAATTTTTAACTTATTAAATAATAACATAAATAAAATAAATAATAAAAATATAACATCAAATAAAACAATAATAAATAATAATATAAATAATAACATATTTTCTTATTGTACGAGTATATAAACTATTCAGATTGTATTTTTTCAAAATAAAAAAAATATATTAAATTTTATTATAGCTTTAATTATTTATGTATTATCACAGAATATTTTATTCTATTATAGAATATTTATATTAGAATATTTTAATATTTTATTATTAAAGAATCTATTATCTATATCTATATCTATATCTATCTATATCTATCTATATCTATCTGTATCTATATCTATATCTATCTATACCTATATCTATTCTATATCTATTCTATATCTATATCTATCTATATCTATATCTATACCTATATATATCTATATCTATATCTATATCTATATCTATATCTATATCTATATACTATAAAGTGGAGTTTTAAATACAAACTCTCCGTGTATCACGGAGGGAAGGTGCTCAAAAAAATTTCCAAAATTATTTCAGAGTCACACATCAACTGGCGATGATGGTTACCCCAAATATCGGAGACTATCACCTGAAGAAGGCGGACAAATTGCTATAATTCGAAATAATGATATTGATAACAGGTGGGTAGTCCCTTACAACCCACTGTTGCTTAAAATATTTGACGCACACATAAACGTGGAACTGTGTAGCTCTGTAAAATCAATAAAATATATTACCGAATATATAAACAAAGGTAGTGATCAAGCTACATTTAGTTTAGACAATCGAAATGAAGTGGAACAATTTCAATCTGGTCGATACATATGTAGTTCTGAAGCGGTTTGGCGTATTTTATCTTTTGATGTACACAAACGAGCGCCTGCTATTATTCACTTGGTAGTTCACTTAGAGAATGGGTTTTTTTTACATAACATAATGTCAATGACATTGTGAACAATCCACGTGATACTACATTGACTGCTTTTTTCAAATTATGTGCTAAAGACGAATTTGCTAAAACCATAACATATGACAAGGTTCCAAATTATTATACTTGGAATCAATCTATCAAAAATTTCCAACGACAAAAACGAGGAACCCCCGTCGAAAATCATCCTGTTGTAAAAAAAACTGATACCCTCGGCAGAGTGTATGTAGTTCATCCAAATAACAGTGAATGTTTTTACTTAAGAATGTTGCTCCACGTGATCAAAGGTCCAATTTATTTTGCAAGTCTACGAACTGTGCAAGGAGTGACGTACGATACATTTCAAGAAGCAAAGCAATGGGTTTGTTAGAAGATGATTTACAATGGGAAAACACATTATCTGAAGCTACATACAGTAGTATGTTGTACTTCACCGTCTATAAGATATTTATTTGCCATTTTGATAGTATTTTGCCAAGTAACAGACCCGATAAGGCTTTGGCAAAATCATTGTGCAAGTATGGCTGAAGACGTATTGTTTCGAAAACAAAAAGAATGTCCATCAGATGATATAAATTACGATGAAAATATTTTTAATGAAGCTTTACTTGAGTTGAATAAAGTGGTACAATCAGTTTCTGGCAAAAATATCACTGATTTTGGATTAATTCTATCGAACAATATAGATCTGAATACCAATACTTGCGAGAGACGTCCTACGATAGTGTCCGTCTATTACAGGTCGTTCAAAATGAGAGACGTTTAAACACTGATCAGAAAACGACGCATGACGCAGTAATGACATCTATTAATAATTACGAAGGCAAAACATTTTTCCTTGATGCCCCTGAAGGTACAGGAAAAACATTTTTAATTAATTTATTGCTTGCCAAAATAAGAACAGACAGAAATATCGCTCTTGCTGTGGCTTCATCTGGAATTGCAGCTACGCTTTTAGAAGGTGGTCGAACTGCGCATAGCACTTTCAAGATCCCGCTAAAAATGTCCTACGATCAAGTATCTGTAATATATCCAAACAAAGTAACACTGCTCAATTGATGCGGGATTGTGTATTCATTGTTTGGGACGAAGCATCCATGTCCCACAAAAGCTTGGTTGAGGCATTGGATAGAACCTTGCGGGACTTACGTAATAAAAATACATTAATGGGTGGCTGTACAGTCTTATTTTCTGGAGATTTTCGTCAAATCTTGCCAGTTGTAGTAAGAGGAACGAGAGCTGATGAAGTCAATGCATCATTAAAGAGATCTTACATTTGGCCAGACATAACTAAATTGAAACTGAAAACTAATATGAGAATATTATCTGACCAAGGAAATAAAACTTTTGCTGATGCTTTACTCCGTGTTGGTAATGGTCAGTCACTGACTAGAAATGGTAAAATTGATCTGTCTGAGCTTTGTTTTTTGATGTCTAATTTGATGGACCTAATTGAAAATGTTTACCCAGATTTACCTAATATTTCGACTAAAACGCCAAGTTGGTTTCAAGAAAGAACAATATTGTCACCAATTAACGATCAAGTCAATAAAATAAATGACATGATACTGTTAAATTTCAACGCACCAACAAAAGTTTACTATTCCATTGTCACTGTTTTAGATGCAGAGGAGGCGATACATTATCCAACTGAATTTTTAAATTCTTTATCACCTTCAGGGACCCCACCACACAAATTAATTCTAAAAATAGGGTCTCCTATAATTTTACTTCGTAACTTAAGTCCACCTAAATTATGCAACGGTACAAGATTACAAATAAAGTCTTTAAAAAACTGTCTGCTTAAGTGTATAATCCTTACTGGCTGCAGAGCTGGGGAAATGGTCTTGATTCCTAGAATACCAATGATACCAACCAATTTGCCATTTCAGTTCAAACGGCTCCAATTTCCCGTGAAATTAAGCTTTGCAATGACTATTAATAAGGCACAAGGTCAAACATTAAACGTTGCAGGTTTAGACTTAACCGTCCAGTGTTTTTCCCATGGTCAATTGTACGTAGCTCTGTCACGTGTCACATGCAAACAAAATCTATTTGTGATAGCCCCAGAAGGTGAGACACTTAACGTGGTGTATCCAGAAATATTTAATACTTAAGACAAATTGATATAATTAACAAAAAAAATAAAAATCATACATCATACATCATAACGAAACAAATATATTCCACACGTATATATAAAATTATACTAAACAAATTAATCAAATTAAATATCTGATATAATTCATATCAAACTTTTCACATATTCCTAAACATATATAAATGTACTGAAATCTAGCAATAGCAAAGCATTGCCGGGTCAGCTAGTAAATAATAAAAATATAACATCAAATAAAACAATAATAAATAATAATATAAATAATAACATATTTTCTTATTGTACGAGTGTATAAACTATTCAGATTGTATTTTTTCAAAATAAAAAAAATATATTAAATTTTATTATAGCTTTAATTATTTATGTATTATCACAGAATATTTTATTCTGTAATAATGTAACAAAAAATCTATTATTTTTAAATAAAAAATATAAACCATTTACTACTCGCAAAATCAAAATTATCAGTTATCAAAGAATATTCATATGTGTATCCGAGCATCCCCTAAAATGTAGTAAACGGACCCCCAACAATGTATGTCTAAAAGTGAGGGTTTCGTATTTTAACTGATGTTCCATAGATTAAATATAATTTATTCTAATATATTCGCAAAAATTAAATTATGTTTCATAATATAAATACTAAAACTAAATTTTCATGTAAAAACTTACTATGATAATATATCAGCCAAAATTGACTACAAAAGTACAAATCATAAATAATTATAGCTGTCTGAGAGAAATATACTAGATTCAAGGAAAATTTTTCATTAGATAAATTTTTCACAATGAATAAGTTTTATAAAACTTAAAGTAAAGTTTTAAAAATAGAAAATTTCCTAAAATTCATCCTAAAATTTTCTTAAAAATTATTATTTTATTAAATATTTCATAATGTAGGCTTAAAAGGGATGGAATACGGTTAAAAGACCTTACCTGGTAGAAATATATACTCGACAGATGCCTACATAGACTCTTTTGATTGACTGACGAATCCGCTATTTCAAGTCGACAAATCGACCACTGATCAGCGATATGGGAAAAATAGTTAACTGATAAATTAAAATCGCTTAAACATGAAACTTTAAAGTATTAATGAAACTTATGATGACTTCATTAAATTTTAGAAGGAAATTGTATGTGTTCACTCTCGACTCCGTTGTTGATGTGACAAATATTTCGTACGAACTGTTGTTGGTCGAAAATTTTAATTTAAATCGTCATAGCAACGGGTTTTGTTAATAGCCAGTAACATTTATTGCGCGATTGATGTAATTTATTTTTATTGTTTTTGACATATCAATCAAAAGCTAAAATATTTTTATTTTAAATGCGAAAGTGTAAAATCTTCCGAAAATCAGTGTCCATGTACCAACAACTAAATCTTCTATTATTTGAACTACTTGCCGCCACTGTTAACCGGCATTTAATACACGACGAATATCTGTTTCCAAGCATTATTTTAAATTATTTGATTTTTATGGAGTGGACTTGCTAAAACGTGCACTCGAATTTAGCCACCCTTTCCATAAGTCGTTCGTTCTCGTTCACAGTAAATAGTATCATTGACATTTTGGTCGGAATGAAAAAAATAAAAACCAACGCTCGAGCGGCTGCGCGTCCACATCGATCTTCGAACGTGATGGTCCGTGCGGATAGACCGGTTGCCGGCGGCAGCCGCAAAGTGGTCGACGCATTAAGGGAAACGTGCTCATTTAGGTATTTACTTATAGAGAGCAGTCAATCACGCGGTCGTTGCGGCTACTGGCAGCTTGGAAACGTATCCCTTAGACAACATGATAGTGGTGTACTGCGTCGATTTGCGTTAATGTACGATTTTCAAGTTGCGACTGACCGCAACGACTGATCGTCGCGTGTGTAGTGGTTTTCTACGTACGACCGGACGTCGCGGTTGGTATTTATTTTCAGTTCAGTTTAGTTCAGCTCGATATTTCGTGGTGCTCACGCGTATTTTCTTTTTTTAATTTGTCATTAAAAATAACTAAAAACGGAACAAATAATTATAAATAACAATGAAATAATCATAAATTAAACAATTATAATAAAAGTAGGAAGAATAAGTAATGTATACCAAGAGCGTACCCAGGAATTTTTAAGAGGGGGGGTTGATCAAAATTTTTATTTTATCTGTTCTCTAATTATAATTATAGTTTAACTCAATACCAAAAAATTACTGTTAATATACTATAGTACGGTTTACGAGAGCGTATCTAGGGGGGGGGTCCAGAGTGTCTGGACCCACCAGAAATTTCTTCTATATTTGACGAATGTTTAAAATAATTATTTATTTTTAATACCGACATAAATATTTTTAGTCAAAAATGACTTAAGCTCCAATTAATCATTAACTGCTTTTAATTTTATATCATAATATCATATGAAAATATGATATTAATTTTAATAAAAGAAGATTAAATCTTTTTCTGTCTTATTTTTAACCAAATATCAATAGTTAAATCTAAATTCAATAAAATTTTTAAAAAAAATTCTGGATACGGCCTTGACGGTTTATACATATATTATAGGTCATAAATCTATAAACTTTGTATATTGAAGATAATTGGAAATAAAAATACACTATTTACTATTATACCATTGAGTATGTACAAATTTCAATAAGGGATCCGGACCCCTCTCCCCTCCACTCCATTGGGTACGCCCTTGATATATACTTCATATAAATGTAGGACTTCATCAACTAACAGCTCATCCGTCAGTTATCAGAGGATTTTCGATGTTTTTCCATTTAATCAATTTGTTTATAAAAATATATAATAAATTCGTTCAGCAAAAGATCATGATGCGACTCACTGCTCCCAGAACACCGCGTACGTTAAATGCAACGATTATTGTTGACACGCACTAGTCGATCGGATGTTGGAAACCACCATAAAACATTTACTTATAGAGAGCAGTCAATCACGCTGGACTCAGCTTGGAATCGTACCAATGATAGTAGGGCACTGGGTCATAGGAAGCGCACCTCAAAACCCGTGTGCACGTGTAGTACATGCGTCTCCGCGAAAGGGCCGATGATCGATGACCGTTTTCGATTCGGATGGAAATCATTAGTCGCGCGCTCGACAAGGAGCGGTTGGTGTGCCGATTACGCGTACGGTTAATGGCTGTGCAACAAACGACCGTGTACTTGTTTGCCGTTACGTACGCATATGGACGGTTCAGTGTTGGTACACGGACGCATAGCTGAATCGCCCGTAGCATCCCAGATGGGTTCCGAGTACTAGGGGCTAATTGCAGGTAGTGCACTAGTTGAGCCCCGGATTTTTATAGGTACTAAACTAGTTGGGTCCTGAATTATTTTAGGTATTACACTAGTTCCTGAATATTTTTTGGTAAGTACTACGTTATACTAATATTTTCCTTCTCATTTTAACAGACTTAGGACTGTCTACGATCTATTTAGACCACAGGTATGGTTAAAAATGGTTTTTTATAGTTTTTTTTTTTGTTTTTTACTTTCTTTTCCATTAAAATATAAATTATTAGAATTTTGTTGGTAAAAATATTAAAAATGTTAAAATAATTATATCATATAAAAATAAAAATTAATGGGAAAAAACTAAAAAACAAAAAATAAAAAAAAAAAAACTATAAAAACATTTTTAACCATACCTGTGGTCTAAATAGATCATATACAGTCCTAAGTCTGTTAAAATAGGAAGAAAAATGTTAGTATAATATAGTAATTACCAAAAAATATTTAAGAATTAGTGTAGTACCTAAAATAATTCGGGAACCAACTAGTGTAGTAATTTTAAATACGGCACCCAATTTGGATGCATCAGAATCGCCTTGTCTTGTCCGAGAGAAATGCTCCGGATAGAAGGAACAACGATGATTTCTATGTAAAAATAATATTAATTTAAAAAATACGCAAAGTCGTATGTGTGTACTGATATTTATTTTTACCTATACATTCGTCTGTAAATCTTTGTATTTTTATATCTGTTTAGGTATACCTCAATCGGTAAATATTAAAATCGACAATATATATTTCCCAGGTGACTAAAAATTTGATTATCAATAAATTCCTTTCTAGTGCACGTTTAAAGTGTTAGAAGATGTCAAAATTGAAGTTCATACGTTTCGTCGTTTTCGAGACGTAGAATTCATCGGGTGACTGAGTAGTGCTATTTGAAATTTATGTTCATGATATTATAACCATTGTCGGTTTTCGCGGTTACTGCGTTTAATGGCGTACGTAACATTTTTGCGGGAAAAAAAATAAATAAAAAAAAACATCGATATGAAATGCCGGAATAATTCGTGTTCATCCAATAATAATCTGCCAAAAGCGATCGTCGGCGGGTCGATAAAATTATAATACCGTTATAATCATCAAATCGAATAAAAACAATAATAATTATCAACATTCCGATTTGATGTTTTCATAGTGCGTTTGTAATACATATTTCAACATTATCCTTTGTTTTTTATTTTCACAGTATTTTCAGGGATTGGCTAATACGAAGCAAACATCGTACGCTTCGTATTACACACACACACACACACAGTTGTTTATATGTTTTTTTTACGAAACAGAAAAAAGCAGTCATAAACTTTAATAACATCGTTTCGAGTTAATGATCCAATATAGGAGTATTATATATGAGTATATATGTGGCTGCTGAGCGTCGTATAATAATATTGTGCTGCGATGCCGTCCAAATCCGTATGAGATAGTCTAAATTATAGTGCTTTATTATTTCGTCGATGGCGATTGTTTTTTTTAGGAACATTGTAATAACATAAAGTATTCTACGTTAAATTATCAAACCATCCGAATTCTTTCATTTCTTTACATTTTTTGTTAAATATTCAACGTCTTCTAGAACTTAACCATTCTAGAGATTTACTCATATTATAAATAAATGATAATTTTAATTAAGAAAAAAAAAAATAACAAAAAACCAGCGACTGTTAACAATTGTATTTATTCTGATGTGCCATTCATTA